TTGGCGACAGTGGGAAGGAAAAACTCCCTTTTAACAGGAAGAAACCTCCGGCAGAACCAGGCTCAGGGAGGGGCGGGGCCATCTGCTGCGGTGAGGGGAGGAAGACGGGGTCATTTTAAATTGATTTCTGGTTTTCTAAATCTTCACTCCTATAACTTTGAGCCATGGAGGAGATTGATGTAGAACGTGTGTGTATGCAGGACCTTCCTGGCGCCTGGCGCCCCCCGCTGGATCAACATTGATGGCAGGACAATGGGTCTGACAGTGAAAGGTCTGGAACATCCTCACCGCTATGTGCTGGAGGCAGCACAGACGCACGTCTTCCTGCTCATGAAAAAGGTGTGTCCAGATTCATGATTGGTGTGAGGATCAAAAAAGATCCGTTCATACCGAAACGTGGAGGTTGCTAGCATGCTCATGTTTTTGATTGGCACAGGACACGTTCTTCCGTTACCTCAAGTCACCTACATACAAGGACATCCAGAAGAAGGCACTGAACCCTGAACCGCACAACTTCAGGTTAGTATTCATCATAATGTAGACACAGAACCTGAATTTCAGGTTCCACTTATTCCAATTTAAAAGGATCCAAACTGGAATAACAGGGAAGGGACCTCTTACTATATTGGGCTATATTACCACAAGTACTGACGTACACACAGGCAGTACTTTTTGCCTGGATCCTTCATAATAGTAATCCGACTACATCACAAACTTTTGGAATTGACACATCCATCTTTGCATACAGATCTCTATATAAGGAGACATGTTTAAATCCAGGCTGAAACAGGAAGTGGTGACAGTGTTGTAAGAGAGAGGCCTGCAGTTAATAAGAAAGGATGACTGCCAGGAGAGGTGTAGCTTGTTTCCACAAGAGTGATGACTGTTAAAAACCAGCGATACTCAGACTGAGATATCAGTTCCTCTGAGATCTTCACTGTGGCTCAAGTAAAAAATGCTTGGAATTTAAGTTTCTATGAAAAAGACGAAGACTAAAAGAAAAAGAAGAGGAGGAGCACCGCGTCACTGCAATGGGAAAACAAAGTAAATAAAACTTCTCCAGCATTCATGGCACAGAAGCTCCTGTAATGATAGCGTCATTTTCAAATTGAAGATAAGAACATTTAAGATGAGGCAGCATGAGGGATGTTTACGTGTTTAAGTCTGGTCCACAGACCCACTGAGATCTGATGGATTTTTAAAAGCCCTCACTTCGCACCATTTGGATTGGCATCACATTCAAATATTATTTTCTGCGTTGTGTGTCACCAGTTGCTCCTCCTGTGCCTATAGTGGTCAAACAGGTTTACCGTCTAATCATTTGAACCCAAACCAGGGACAGGACAAGTAAAGAGCATAGGTTTCTACAATTGATAAGCAATGTGTGTTTCACAACTTTACTCTGGTGAAAGAGGCTTTTTTGTCATTAATGTTTGTATTTCATCCAAGTCCTGCCAATCTGGAGCAGAACGCTCTGAACCGGAGCCCGGGCATCCACCCCATCATCCTCTGGCAGCAAGAAGAGGAGGAAAAAGCCAAGGCTGCCGCTGCCTCCGCTCCAGTGGATGTCAAAGCCATGATGAGCAAGATCGACAGGAAGAAGTAGAAAAGTATAGTGCAGGTGTGTTTGTATGCACGCAGGTTCGTTCAAAGCAGTCCTCTTTGTAGCTGGATACATGAAAGGTCTCACTTTACTTATTAATGGTCTCCTGTTTTAGCAACTGTGAGTTATTTTAAATCGGAAGGAAAAACTTTGGCTTTCACGGCCAAGATCTGGAGAAACACGGGCTGAGCCATCAAAAGCTTTTCTTCTCTCTGTGCACAGATTACATTTCATTTGCTTATTCGAGTGAAATAATCCTAAAGACAAGTTACAAACGATCATTCACATTTTCAGATGTACTTAAAGCTGTTTCTACAGTTTCTACCAGTCAGCAGATTATATTTCATGTATATTGTGTTAGCACAGTTTGTTAATAACACTCTTACTGTTGTGAATCTACAGGGTGGGCCATTTATATGGATACTCCGTAATAACATGGGAAT